GGAGACAGAACTTAGCTGAGGTGCCACCTCTTCTTCCCATTTCCCCAGAGTCTTTGAGGACAAAGAAGGCTGGCCCATTCCCTTCCCTGGGGCCTCGCGCTCCTGGCTCCCATCCTTGCACCCACTCCTGGTACCCGCATGGCCTCTTCCAGGGCAGGCAGGGCCTCTTCTAGATCTTTCTGGGCATTGTCAGCCAGTGCCTGACACTTGATTTCCTCAACTGCAATCTTTTCACTGTTGGCTGTTACGGCCTAGGGATGAAAAAAGGGCAAAGGTTTTTTGTCTTTGCCTTGGGCAAAAGTGGGAGTGACGGTGTTGGTGGAAAAGATGAAAGAGAAAGCTAAATAATTTTTTTTTTCTTTTTTTTTTGAGATGGAGTCTCACTCTTTCGCTCAGGCTGGAGTGCAGTGGTGCAATCTCGGCTCACTGCAACCTCCTCCCCCAGGGTTTAAGCAATTCTCCTGCCTCAGCCTCCCGAGTAGCTGGGATTACAGGCGCCCTCCACCACGGCCAGCTAATCTTTGTATTTTTAGTACAGATGGGGTTTCACCATGTTGGCCAATTTGGTCTCGAACTCCTGACCTCAGGTGATCCACCTGCCTCAGCCTCCCAAAGTGCTGGGATTACAGGCGTGAGCCACTGCGCCCAGTTACTAAAGAAAATTTAAGAAGGGGAACATGGGTTCCCTGATGCAGTAGCCAGCACTGGTGGGAGTGAGGCACGGGGGGGTGCGGGTGGGCCCTCGACCTTCTGCTGCTCGTCCGCCTCCCGCTTCTGCTGCACAATGATGACCAGGTACTCCTCACACTGCTTCTGGAACTCGGCCACCTTCTTCTTGGCATCTTCCAGCTCCAACGACATCACTTGTACCTTTTCCCTAGTTTCATCGATCTTGAACAAGCCTGTCCGCAGCTTATTGGCTTGGTCCTGCAGCTCCTGCCGTTTTTCTCCCAGCAACCTGCGGGGGAGAATAGGACAGGGTGTGGAGAGGCAGGGCTTCCGGAAACAGGGTGTCCTGTAAGACCCACCTTCCCCGTGTGTCTCAAGTCCGCCTTCCTTTCTGTTGCCACCAATACTACCACCACCATCCTGGTCGGGATTCTATCATTTCCTGCCTGGGTCATCACCAACAGCTTCCTGAGGGCTCTTCTTGATTTCAGGCTCTCACTCCTCCAGTTTATTCTACACACCACTACCGGAATCAGCTTGTTAAATAGTCTCCATCACACCACCTCCCCTACATGAGAATCTTCCTCTGTTCCCCACTGTGGAACAGGCAGGTGGGCTGGCCCAGGGCAGGCAGCCGTCCCTCAGCTCCAGCCTGTTTTTTTCCCTGTGGGAATGAATGTGGGCCCAGTATTGCAACAATTTCCCTCTCTCTCTCTTTCTTTTTTTTGTAGAGATGGCGTCTTGTTATGTTGCCCAGGCTGGTCTCAAACTCCTGACCTCAAGTGATCCTCCTACCTCGGCCTCCCAACGTGCTGGGATTACAGGCATGAGCCACTGCTTCTTTTCTTTTCTTTTCTTTGAGATGGAGTCTCACTCTGTTGCCCAGGCTGGAGTGCAGTGATGTGATCTCAGCTCACTGCAGCCTCCACCTCCCGGGTTCAAATGATTCTCCCGCCTCAGCCTCCCGAGTAGCTGGGATTACAGGCACCCGCCATCATGCCTGGCTAATTTTTGTATTTTTGTAGAGACAGCGTTTCACCATGTTGGCCAGGCTGTTCTTGAACTCCTGACCTCAAGTGATCTGCGCACCATGGCCTCCCCAAGTGCTGGGATTATAGGCGTGAGCCCCCACGCCCAGCCTTATTTGTATCTTTTAAAATATCCTTTGCAATAAGTCAGCAATAGTAGGTGAAGTGTTTCCTGAGTTCTGTGAGCCACTGTAGCAAATTAACTGAACCTGATGAGGGGGTGGTGGGAACCCTCGAATTATAACCGGCCAGGCAGAAACACAGGTACAACACTGGGCTTTCGGTTAGCATCTGAAGCGGAGGGTGTCTTGTGGGACTGCGCCCTCCACCTGTGTGATCTGACTCTAACTCCAGGTAGATCGTTTCAGAATTGAATTATGTTACAGGACACCCAGCCAGTGTCCCCTGGAGAACTGCTTGGGTGGGGAAAATCCCCACCACATCTGGTGTCCGAAGTGAAGTACAGCCAGCTTTCCGTATTCACATCCGTGGATTCAACCAACAGAGGATCAAAAATATTTGAAAAAAGTCCGGGCACGGTGGCTCACACCTGTAATCCCAGCACTTTGGGAGGCCAAGGCTGCTGGATCACCTGAGGTCAGGAGTTCAGGAACAGCCAGGCCAACATGGTGAAACCCTGTCTCTACTAAACAAACAAACAAAAAAATTAGCTGGGCATGGTAGCACGTGCCTGTAATCCCAGTTACTAGGGAGGCTGAGGCAGGAGAATCACTTGAACCTGGGAGGCAGAGGTTGCAGTGAGCCAAGACTGTGCCACCGCACTCCAGCCTGGGCAACAGAGCAAGACTCCTTCTAAAAAAAAAAAAAAAATCTCGAAAAAAGTTGCATCTGCACTGAACATGTACAGACTTTTCCCTCTTTTCATTATTCCCTAAACAATACAGTATAACAACTATTTACATAGCATCTACATTGTATTAGGTATTGTAAGTAATCTAGAGAGGATTCAAAGTATATGGGAGGAACCTGCATAAGTTACATGCAAATACTCCATTCTATATCAGGGACTGGAGCATCTGTGGATTTTGGTATCCGTGGGAGGTCCTGGAACCAGTCCCCCACGGATGCTGAGGGCCTGTACTGTGTTGAGTGAAAGAGTAGGGAAAACGCTTTGTTTTTTCTATCTCATACAGGTAGAAAGTCTAGAAGACATTAAAGGCAGACAGGAAAGGACTGGGTATATTATGGCAATGTTCCAGTTATATTATGGTGAGAAAAAGACACAGAAACTTCATGCCAGAAAATAAGGGCCAAGAGGGTGTGGAGAGGGGCTGAGGGGAACATAGCCAGAAGGTTCTGGAGACAGCCCCTCCCATGGGAAGCCCCAGCTCCCTCTTCCCAACTTCCTAGGCAGAACTGCGGCCTTTGCGTCTCTGCCCTTGCACATCAACTCATTTCACCCATTGCCCTCAGAAGACACAAGGCTCCCTGGCCCTGCACGTCCCTTGCCCTCCTTCATACTTTTTATATCCAGACACGAGTTCCAGGTAGTTGGTGGGTGTGACGTAGTTGTATCTCCGCAGTTCCAACAGCATCTTCTGGGAATACTGAGCTACTGACCAGTGCATAGTGACAAAGATCTGGGCCACCTTCCTGTGGATCTGAGGCCAGTGACACAGGATGAAAAGGCAGATGGAAATGGAAGTGGGAGAGAGACCGGGGGTGCGATGAGAGGCGGGGAGGAGGGAGGCCGGGGGTGCGATGAGAGGTGGGGAGGAGGGGCTCACATTCTCCTGAGTTCCCAGGTCTACTCCTACGAGGTACTTCTCAGCCACCTCGAGCAGGGCCTCTTGGGGCCACTCTGAGAACCAGTTGATGGTTGTGCAGTTCACCAAGGCTGGGTACTGGCGGATCCAGTTCCTGGGAAGGGGTTTGGAGAGGCTGTAAATTCCGTGCACAGACACAGCCTCCAGGCACTGGCTTCCCCACACGCATCCACTCACTTTCTAGGAACCTAAAATGCCCCGTCCTCTTTCTCCTCTATCTCCTTGTCCAAATTCTGTTCCTTCAGAGCTAGTTCAGCAGAACATTTAGAAACAGGTTCTGGAGTCACAAAAACCTGGTTCTACACTTTTGAGGTGTGGATCTCCAGCAAGTATCTAAGCTCTTTGAATGCCAGTTTCCTCGTCTCTAAAATGGGAATAGTAATACATGCTGACTAGGGTGGTTGGGGGATTCAATGAGGTGTCACACGTGAAAAGTTCAGCATAGCGCCCGGCTGTGTTCACAAACATTATAAACAAAATGGTAGGCTGGGCACTGGGGCTTGTGCCTGTAATCCTAGCACTTTGGGAGGCCAAGGCGGATGGATCCCTTGAGCCCAGGAGTTCAAAACCATCCTAGGCAAATGGCAAAACCGCATCTCTACAAAAAGTACAAAAATTAGCTGGCCATGGTGACATGCGCTTTTAGTCCCAGCTACCGGAGAGGCTGAGGCAGGAGGATCACTTGAGCCTGGGAAATGGAGGTTGCAGTGAGCCGAGATGGCACCACTGTACTCCAGCCTGGGTGACAGAGCAAGACTAGCAAGACTTGGTCTCAAAAACATTTTTTTTTTGTTAAGGTAATCCAAATTGCTTCCCTGCAGAAGTTCTCTGCCCTCTTCCTAGTTTCTGATGCCCTTTAAAATCTAGTTATATCAAGAAAATGTGGTATAGACATACAAGATAATATTATTCAGCCTTAAAAAAAAAGAAGGAAATCCTGACACATGCTACAACACAGATGAACCTTGAGGACACTACGCTAAGTGAAATAAGCAAGTCACAGAAAGACCAATGCTAGCTGGGCGCGGTGCCTCACGCCTATAATCCCAGCACTTTGGGAGGTGGAGGCGGGTGGATCACTTGAGGTCAGGAGTTTGAGACGAGCCAAACCAACATGGTGAAACCCTGTCTCTACTAAAAATACGAAAATTAGCCAGACATGGTGGCAAGCACCTATAATCCTAGCTACTGGGAGGCTAAGGCACGAGGATCACTTGAACCTGGGAGGTGGAGGCTGCAGTGAGCCAAGATCACAGCATTGCACTCCAGCCTGGGCAACAGAGTGAGACTTCGTCTCAAACCAAAAAACAAAGAAAGACAAATGCTGCATGGTTCCACCTATGTGAGGCATCTGAAGTCAGACTCATAGGGACAGCGGCTGGGGAGGGAATGAGGAGCAGTGGTTTCCTGGGTATGGAGTGCGGCCTCGGGAGCATGAGAAAGCTCTGGAGCTGTCACACAACAGTGTGAGTATACTTCACACGGCTGAACACTGCACTCAAACGGTTAAGATGATACATTTTGGGGTGTGTGTGTGTGTGCGTGTGTGTGTTTTGAACAGAGTTTCGCTCTGTCCTCCAGGCTGGAATGTAGTGGCGAGATCTTGGCTTACTGCAACCTCCGCTTCCCGGGTTCAAGCGATTCTCCTGCCTCAGCCTCCTGAGTAGCTGGGACCACAGGTGCCCCCACCACCATGCCCAGCTAATTGTATTTTTAGTAGAGACAGGGTTTCACCATGTTAGCTGGGATGGTCTCGATCTCCTGACCTCGTGATCTGCCTGCCTCGGCCTCCCAAAGTGTTGGGATTACAGGCGTGAGCCACTGTGCCCGACCTGTGAGTGTGTGTTTTTAACGACAATTAGATTTACAATGACAAAACAAAACCAAAAAGCCACCCACCAAAATAAACAAAAAATCTAGTTATACCAAGAGAGGACAGATGACTCCCATGTCCAGCAAAGGAGCTTCCTGAAATCGGGCACAGCCTACGGAAAGGAGATGGGCGAGGCGGGCAGAGGAGCCTGCTCTTATTCCTGACACTAATTTCCAGAAGGCAGGCACAGGAGGCCACAGCAGGGTGAGGGAGCACACAGAAGGGGCTGAGAGAAGAATGTCACAGAAGTCACCTGAAGGGATCCCCCACGGGGCTGAGGCAAAGCACGATGTGCAGGTTGTTCCGCACGCGTTCGATAAGGTAGGCGAAGAGGCTGTCCGATGACTCAGGCACCTGCTCTGCCCGGGCCTGATCTATGATGTGCGACTGGATCTGGACAGAAGCCACCCAGGGTCAGACGGCTGGTGTCTCCATGGCAGAATCAGCGGGGGCAGCAGGTCAGGCGGGGCTAACAAAGTGTTTCCCAGGCTGGACTTGAACTCCTGGCCTCAAACCATCCTCCCACCTCAGCACCTCCTACCCCCGAGTAGCTGGGACTACAGGCTCCAGCCACTGTGCCTGGCTCTGAAGCATGGGTTTTAAAGCAGCTCTGCCCAGGGTCCCTGGAGGGGACCTTCCACCTTACAGGGCTGAGGTGGGCAGTGGGGGTGCTCCAGGGGCACATTCTGGGAGCTGTGGTCCTTCTGGGGTCAGCTACGCCGGCGGAAGAAGCGTCTGGTCGAGGGTGTGGAAGGAATCCTACCTCTTCAAATTCATCAGGCTTGTAGAGATTGGGCACCTCGCCTGAGCTGAGGATGTTGTTGATGTCCTCTAGGAAGGACTCATCAGCTATTTGGGTGTCCACAAAAAGGAAGGACGTGGTCTTGAGCTCCACCCCAGCCTGATGATACAGACGCTTGATATCTGGCCGGGGGAGGGAAGGAGGACGAACTCACTGCAAATTCCCCGTCCTGGGCTTCATTCCTTTTCTGAGATTTAGGAACCCTCCCCGAGCCGCAGCATACACGCAACACCATCCTACACTCAACACAGGCCAGGCACATCTGCCCATCTGGCTGCCATCTCTCCTCTCTTATCACTGCAGGAATGTACGCATCTGATCTTTCATTCCTACCATTTCAGAAACCCAGCCGTACCATCTCGGAACTCCTGCTTCCGATAATGTTTGGTGACCTCGATCTGGAAGGTGGTGTAGTCGCAGATGGATGAAGCCAGGCGGGCCAGACTCTGGCGTCCACTGCCCCCAATGCCCACGAGGAGCATGTTGCCCCGAGGCTGTCCAATGACCCGCACGATCCGTGTGACTGGGGGTGGAGTGGGTGTGAGGGTAATGAGTTGGCTGAGTAAACTCAGGGGACCTCCAGGCTCTAGGCTAGGGATTGGGGTCCCTGAAACTGAAGCAGAGGAACCAAGAGGTATGAGAAGAAGTTGGTGCCCAAGGCCCAGGAGGCAATTCAACTTTTAACCTCCACCTTCTCTGTTAAACACACGCTGCCACACCCAGGGCATCTGCGGCCGGGGAGAAAGGCAGCTTCTGGAACTTGATTTGGGAGACCTGGGAAGGGACCCCTATTTCCTTAGACATACCCCATCACTGAGATGATGGGGAAGGGGGTGGGACTGGCAGGCGCTCACTGTGCTCAATAGCCTCTCGGAAGAGCACCAGCTGCATGGGCACCACAGAGGGTGACAGGTTATACTCATTCAGAGCCGTCTCCATGACTGTCTTCAGCACTGTCAGATCTGTGAGGTCTTCGTACACCTTGGGCTCCTTCAGGAAATCCCCTGGGCCATGGGAAGAGGGGATCAGAGGCACAAACGCCTGGTCTGCCTCCCCGCCACAGGGCTCCACATTTCAGACTCCATGTCCTGACTCCTTCTAGCCCCGATGTCCTAAGAGTGTCAAGCCCAAGGTCATCACAGCTCCCAGCTCACCAAAGATAGGAGGACGCTTGCTGGGACACAGATGATGAAACGTGAGGTCAAAGAAGGAGCCGAGCTTGTCGTTTATGATGCCCATGAAGGCTTCTGTGTCTGCCGCATCCACCAGCCGGTCAGAGAAGACTCTGTGGGCAGGGAGCTGGCGTGAGATCTGGGAATAAAGAGGAGAATGGCCTGGGGAAGGCAGTGTCAGGCTGGGAGCAAAGTGGGGGTGGGAGCAAGGCTGAGGAAGCCTGCGTCTGGTCAGGGCACATGCATGTCACCTGAAACATTCATGGATCCAGAGCCGTGTGATGCTGGACTTGGTATCATGGAAGTCCTTGTTGGCTCTAAGCATGCCCTGGAACACCTGGGAAGAGGACGGACTGTTGGGACCAGGGAGCAAAAAGATTCCCTCCGGAAGTTTTTTGTTTTGCTTTTGGTTTTGGTTTTTTGGGACAGTCTCACTCTGTCTCCAAGGCTGAACTGCAGTGGTGCAATCTCAGCTCACTGCAACCTCTGCCTCCCAGGCTCAAGCAATTCTCCTGCCTCAGCCTCCCATGCAACTGGGACTACAGGCACACGCCACCACGCCCAGCTAATTTTTGTATTTTTAGTAGAGACAGGGTTTCTCCATGGTGGTCAGGCTGATCTCGAACTCCCGACCTCAGGTGATCCACCTGCTTTGGCCTCCCAAAGTGCTGAGATTACAGGCGTGAGCCACTGTGCCCAGCCTTAACACTATATATATACTTTTTTTTTTTTTTTTAGACAGAGGCTCAGACTGCTTTCAAAGCTGGTGTCCAATGGTGAGATCATGGTTCACTGCAGCCTCAACCTCCTGGGTTCAAGCAATCCTCCCACCTCAGCCTCTCAAGTAGCTGGGACTACAGGTGTGCACCACCACACCTGGCTAATTTTTGTATTTTTTTGAGACAGGGTTTCACCATGTTGGTCAGGCTGATATCAAACTCCTGGGCTCAAGTGATCCACCTGCCTCAGCCTCCCAAAGTGCTGGGATTACAGGCATGCACCATGATGGCTTGGCTAATTTTTTGTATTTTTAGTAGAGACAGGGTTTCTCCATGGTGGTCAGGCTGATCTCGAACTCCCGACCTCAGGTGATCCACCTGCTTTGGCCTCCCAAAGTGCTGAGATTACAGGCGTGAGCCACTGTGCCCAGCCTTAACACTATATATATACTTTTTTTTTTTTTTTGAGACAGAGTCTCAGACTGCTTTCAAAGCTGGTGTCCAATGGTGAGATCATGGTTCACTGCAGCCTCAACCTCCTGGGTTCAAGCAATCCTCCCACCTCAGCCTCTCAAGTAGCTGGGACTACAGGTGTGCACCACCACACCTGGCTAATTTTTGTATTTTTTTGTAGAGACAGGGTTCCCCATGTTGCTCAGGCTGATATCAAACTCCTGGGCTCAAGTGATCCACCTGCCTCAGCCTCCCAAAGTACTGGGATTACAGCTGGGAGCCACCGTGCCTGGCCAACACAGTATTTAAAAACAAAAATGAATGCAAAATATTCACGATGAACAAACACTAACATTTAAAATAGAGACCAGATGTGGATTACTGATTTCTCCTTTCCCCTTAGGCTCCAATATGGCTCAGCACTGCACTCTACTGATTTTGTATTTATTCAAAATGGTGGTATTTTGCTCATCATAAATTATTGGCATTAATTTTAATTTTAAAAAAATATTGCATTACTACAGATTCACCAGTACTAGTGGCCAAGCCTCCATACCTTCCCTGTTCCCCTGGGATCCCTTGGCCCCACATACTTCTCCAGTTCTCCTTCCCACTCCGTAGGATCAATAAAACGTTCCAGACAGGGAAAAAAAAATGTGAGGCCAAGTGTGGTGGGAGGCTAAGGTGGGCAGATCTCTCGAGTCTAGGAGTTTGAGACCAGACTGGGCAACATGATGAAACTCTGTCTCTACTGAAAATACAAGAATTAGCTGGGTGTGGTGGCGGGCGCCTGCAGTCCCAGCTACTCTGGAGGCTGAGGCAGGAGAATCACTTGAACCTGGGAAGTGGAGGCCGCAGTGAGCTGAGATCATGCCACTGCACTCCAGCCTGGGGTGCGACAGAGTGAGACCCTGTCTCAAAAAAAAAAAAAAAAAAGGAAGTGTGAACATGTTATTTCTCTTGATTGCAGAGTCTTTGGGTGCCCCCTTAAATTCTGCACTGAGATGAGTGACTCACTGGCCTGGCTCTAATCCTGACACTGCTGCGGGCTTTGTAGGATCTACCTTCCTTAGTCTACTTGGGCTTCACCGTGTTCTCTGCCCACCAGGACTACAAGGCTTCCTTGTCCACAGTCAGGAAGATGCGCTTCCATCCCATAGCTCTCCTAGCTCAGGAGCCAGCACAGGCCCTATGGATCGTCCCAGCTTCCTGTGTGGAGCTCTGCTTGGGGTGCCTCGGCCCCCTGGGATCTGGCCCCTGCTTCTCTGGGACAGAGACATTTCACCTCCTACCCTCCCCTCGTCCTGCAGTCCCCATGAGGTCCTCACTGTGGGGAAGGTCATGTTGATAATGTTGAAGCGACTCTGTAGCCTTGGGGAGATGACGGTCCGTCCACCCCCAGGGGGGCCCATGGCAGCCATCAGGAACATTTCCTAGACAGCGGCGACAAGGCGGGCAGAGAGGCAGGAGGGGAGCGGGCAAGAGAGGCAGCGACACAGGCCGGGTGAAAAGGAGTGGGAGGAAAACAGTGCGAGGAGGGACGAAGGGGAAGAGGAAGCGGGACACAGCGGGTAGAGAGGAACATGGAGCGGCAGAGCAGGGGGAGGGGAAGAGAAGAAAGGGACATGGGAAACTTGTTTTAGAACCAGGAATGCATTGGTCTGTATTTCATCCTTATAATCCATGTACCCAAATGAGAAAATACAGGTAAGTAAAAAAACATTTGTGTCTTCTAGACTTTCTCTTTTTCTTCTTTTAAAATTGTACATATCTATACATGTGGTGTGTGTGTTCTCTCTCAAACACACGTGAATATATCACTAGCCGAGTTTTTGGCCCAGAGTGCCAGATATACACACACACAACCCCAGAAGCCAGGCCGCAATGGCCGCTGATTAAAGAGAAGCAGCCAGGTGCAGTGGCTCAGGCCTGTAATGCCAACACTTTGGAAGGCCAAGGTAGGAGGATCTCTTGAGCCCAGGAGTTTAAGACCAGCCTGGGCAACACATGGAGACCTTGTGTCCACTAAAAATCATAAAATTAACCTGTCACTCCAGCCTTGGCAACAGAGCAAGACACTGTCTAAAAAAAAAAAGAAAAGAAAAAGAAGGAAGGAAGGAAGGAAGGAAGGAAGGAAGGGAGGGAAAGAAAGAAAGAGAGAGAGGAAGGAAGGATGGAAGGAAGGAGGAAGGAAGGAAGGAAGGAGGAAGGAAGGAAGGAAGGAAGGAAGGAAGGAAGGAAGGAAGGAAGAGAGAGAGGAAGGAAGGATGGAAGGAAGGAGGAAGGAAGGAAGGAAGGAAGGAAGGAAGGAAGGAAGGAAGGAAGGAAGGAAGGAAGGAAGGAAGGAAGGAAACAGTATGCTCAGAATCCCACAAAGGAGGCAGGACTGAGGGAGGACGCCTGGCTCATGAGTGAGGAGCCAAGAACTGCTGTCATGGAGACAGGACGCTCCTGTGTGGGAAGGAATCCAGGATGACAGGACCATAGCCTGGGGCCCCAGTGGGGTGGGGACTGAGCCTATCCCAGAAGGGAGCAGAGGCCTGAAGAACAGACTCTCGGGAGGCTTACTCGAATGTACTTGATGGTCTGCTTCGAACGGTCATACCAAAAGCCATAGTCAATCCAGAGGCGGATCAGCTCCAGAGGTGGCTGGGACCCAAACATGTCCTTAGCGGGCATATTTAGGTCATCCATAAAGGTGATCATGCTTTTGCCCCCGAATGGCACGTAGACACCCTTGGTTCGCTTCTCAACTCTGCTCTCAATGATGCTCTGCACATTATTGGATGTGGTCTGGTGAAAAGGTACCGAATGAATGTGTGGGTCTCCTGAGAGAAATATGGGCTTAGAGAGGAGGGTCAAGCAGGCACTTGGATCCCAGGGGAGCCGGCAGCCTGGCTCCTGGGTCCCCGACACACCTGTGCGGACATGTTGACAACGAGCACCGACCACTGGCTGGAGGGCAGGGACTGCAGAACGCTCTGGGCGATGGAGGTCTTCCCAGTCCCCACGGGACCCACCAGCAGAACGGGATTCTGGTTGGCCACCAAGGTGCTCACCAGGTAGTTGTAGCGCACAGTGTCGACGGTGGGCACCATGATCTTATAGAAGGGGGCGCTAGGGAAGAGCAGGGACCGGCTCTCAAGGGCCACCCGCCCACTCCTTTCCAACTCCCACTTCCTTTCCCTCCACGTCACCACTGTCTCATCACCACCCTGCCCTCCTATGGGGCCTGGGGATCATGCACTCCCCTCAAAGACCCTGTCCCAAGTCTTCTAGGTCCCGCTTCCTCTCCTCAGGAGGCAGCCCTTCCCTGGGACCCGCCTTCTCCTTCCTGTCGCTCATTTTTGCTTCTAGGCCCCATCTCTCTTGCCACATCCCCCAGCTACCGCTGCCCCATGCCCTCCTCACACGCAGGCCCAGCTCTCACTTTGGAGGGTAGCGCCAACTCTTAGGGAGCTTGTCCTCAAATGACGTCCAACTCCGCATTTTGGGGTCCACAAAATACTCATATACCGTGTCCTAAGGAGGGCATGTAGGTCAGGTTACCAAAGCCTTCCTTGAGCCTTCTCCAGCCCAGAGAACGGGCCCCAGACCACCGGGTGGAAGAAAGAGAGAGAGAGAGAGCAAAGCAGAGCCCGAGATCGGGGATGCCAATGGGTTCTGGAAAAATAGGGCGAATAGGACAGCTGGGTGTGTGCCCAACCTTATTGGGAAAGGAGCCCTCGATCTCTCGGAGGTAGCTGTCAATCTTCTTGCGGCCCTCTTCATCCACAGAGGCACACACAGACCAGATCATGCTGAACACAAATATCATCTCTACCATGGTGACACAGTTCTCGCCGTCAGCTGAGTTCACCTGGATGGAGGATGAGAAGAGGAAATAACCTGCCTGTAAGAGGCCAGGGGTCCATCTGGCAGACTCATGACACCGGAGGGTGGAAAGGCTGGGTCTTCCTCCCTTCCTGGCTCTATTTGGAAAATCGCACAGTTTTCCAAATGTGCGTGTTTATCTACAACCTGCTGAAAGACTGAGACAAACCTGAAATTTCTTACAGCTCAGCAGTTGCCCTGAGTTTCCTCACTGCTAACTCATAAAGACGCAGCCATCATCCGGCCACAACAGGCCTGCCCTGGAAAAGCACCCATGGGTGCTCAGGAGACAGATTCAGGAACATTCATGGTGACTTGT